TACACTGTTTTCCACAATGGTGGTACTATCTTACATTTCCAGAAGGAATGGATAAAGGTTCCCCACATCCTCGTCAACATTTGTTGTTTTCTGTTTTTTTTGTCTTAGCCATCCTAGTGGGAGTGAAATGGAATCTCATTGTGGTTTTGATTTGAATCTCTCTGATGGCGAATGACACTGAGCATCTTTTCATGTGTTTGGTGGCCATTTGAATGTCATCTTTGGTGAAATTTCTATTCAAGTCCTTTGCCCATTTTATAATTGAGTTGTTTATCTTTTTGTTGTTAGGTTGTCGAAGTTTTATGTATATTTTGGTTATTAGATTCTTGTTGGATATACAGTTTCCGAAGATATTCTCCCAGTCAGTAGCTTGTCTTTTCACTTTTTTTGTAACGTTTTTTGAACAAAAGTCTTTAACTTCTGTGAGGTCTCATTGATACATTTTGTCTTTTGCTGTTTGTGCTTTTGTTGTATTAGATAATCCATTATTGAAAGCTAGGCCTGACACGATGCCTCTGCATTTTCTTCTAAGAATTTTATGGTTTCAGTTTTCACATTTAGGTCCTTTATCGATTTTTAATTTGTTTTTGTGTATCTTATGAGGCATGGATCCTATTTCATTGTTCTGCATGTGGAAATCCAGTTTTCCCATCATCATTTATTAAAGAAACTCTTCTTTCCCCATTGATTGGACTTATCAGTTGACCATAGATGTTTGGGTTTATTTCTGAACTCTCAATTCTATTCCATTCCAATTCTAGTCTGTGGGTCTGTTGTTAGACCATTGCTAGGCTGTGTTGATTACTGTAGCTATATAGTATGTTTTAGAATTAGGAAGTGTTAGTCCTCCAATTTTATTCTTCTCTTTCAGCATTGCTTTAGCTACTCAGGGCTTCTTGCCATTACATGTAAAGTTGAGGATTGGTTTTTCCAATTCTGTAAAGAAGGCCATTGGAATTTTGATTGGAATTGCTTTGAATCTATAGACCACTTTGGGTAGTATTGACATCTTAACACTATTAAGTCTTCCAATCTATGAACATGGAACATCTTTCCATTTATTTAAGTATTCTTTCATCTCTTTTAGGAGTGTTTTATAATTTTCATTGTAGAAGTCCTTCACATCCCTAGTTAGGTTTGTTCCTAGATATTTTATTCTCTTAGATGGTCTTGTAAATGGTATTGTTTCCCTAATTTCCCCTTCAGATTTCTCATTGCTTGTATATAGAAACTCAACTATTTTTGTTATTGTTGACCTTGTACCCTGCAACTTTGCTGAATTCCTCTATTGGGTCTAGAATTTTCATGTATATTACTTTGTAAGTTTCCTAATGCTTTCCCATATTTGATCTTTATACACTGAAAGTATTTAGTCCTCACATTGCAAAGAAGAATATACTGGCTTAGATAATAAAAACGTGCCCTACATCATAGTTAATAAGTGGATGGGCCAATACTCAATTTCATGGCTTCTGTGACCAAGGCCAAGGTAACTTTGAACTTTAGAGTCTAAGGTAAAAAGTATATACTTTAAAACACCATTGAGATGAGGTTAAAAGCATCTTACAAGACAGTGGGAATATCTGTGCTTGTCCAGAAAAGGAGGTGGTGCCATTTCACCAGTGAGTCCTTGGCGAGGGTTTGCTGTTGTGTGCTA